GTAAAGGTTCCCCTCGTACATATGTGCTAGTTGTTCCCGACTCCAGGGGGCGGTGCTCATCTCCGTTTCAAAGCCGAAGAGCCAGCGCTGTCCGAAGACGTCTCCGTGGTCATGTGGCCGGCATGACTCAACGCCAAAGGCACACAGAATGCTGTTCCCTTCCCACCAAAGGTGGTCCCTATTTTTCTACTTGCATTTTTTACGTGCTTTCGAACTGTTAGGTTGGCAGAAGCTGGGACAAGTAACGGGAGCTCGCCCCATTACGCGGCACTAGGGATTCGAACCGCTGAACGGCCAACCTTTCTATCCCACCCCACTCCTGGGGGAAGGATATTGCAAAATCTCCATTCCCACCCCACTCCTGGGGGAAGGATATTGCAAAATCCCCATTCCCACCTCACTCTGGGGCCAGCCAGAGGTGGTATTTGCTGGTTTTTCCCGAACTGCTCAAAATTTCCGCTACCGGTTCGCCAGAACCTGTCAGAACCTGCTGGATTTCACCCCTGCGACTACCTCTTCCAATGTGAAACCTTTTTGAAGAGAAGGAGCAGATAAGCTCCATCTGAAGAGGACAAGGGAACAACCCAAGAGGACAAGGGAACGTGTTTTTGAAGACTCCCCCCCCGACTGTCATTTGACAGCTGTGGTTTGTATGTCTGTTACTGTTTGACGAGAAAAGAGAGCCAAGAGTTAAAACCTGTTATCAGCAGACACTGGTGCTCTGAGCTGACTCTCACTTAGTTGCCCTTAGATTCTCCTTTATGATCAAGCTCTACTTTATTGAACTTCTCCGGGGAATTCAGAGCAGTCCTCCTGCCTCTCTTTCCTTCTCTCAATCAATGGAGAATTCTCCAGCGAGAAAAGGCGAGGGGAAGGGGGAAAAAATGACATTGCTGCGTGAGAGATGAAGAGAGAGAGAGAGAGAGAGCTTTGCTGGCTGTTATCGACATAAAAAAGCTTTGGTTGTAACATTCCTACGAAGGGCTAGGAAGCTTTGTTTTTGTTCCTGGTTTCATTTATTTATTTATTTTTAAAAAGGCAGCTTATTGCCCCCACAATCTGGGTCCTCATTTTACCTGCCTTAGAAAGGATGGAAGGCTGAGTCAACCTTGAGCCTGGTGAGAATTGAACTCGCAGTAATTGCAGGCAGCTGGAAGCTAAGTACTACCTTTTAACAGTAGCATTAGTCTGCTGCGCTACTCAGGCTCCTGAGTGGCGCAGGAGCTTAACAATACAGTGTCTTTTCCTGTTGGTGTTGAACATCTATAGCTGTTGTCTACGTGGGATCTAACCTTCAGGGTCTTCAATTAAGCTAATTTTGGTTTCCAGGAAAACCACAAGGTTCGTGGTCTTTTGCCCTTCCCCAAAATTTCCAGGTTGAACTTCGACATGCTCAAAAAAAAAAAAAAAGAATTTCTGGGACCTAATCAACATTTCTTCAGATGATTCAGCTCCTTGCTAGCAAAGCAAGAAGACTTCCCCTTTTAAAAAGGAATTTATTCTATTTATAGCGACATCATTATCCCTAAGCCTCCAATGAAGCTCAGTGGCAAGTAAACAGCTTTGCATTCAAATACTCTATCAAAGTTTATTGATAGTTGGTTTCACTCTCATCCATCTGATTTGTCCCCCATCTCCCCCACCCCAATCGCCTTGAGGAGCTGACCTTGTTCTCCTTGTGTGTTCACTATTGATGTCAGGACTGAGAAATGGCTTCTCAGCGCTTCTACTGATAACACAATAAATAGGTTGTGTGTTTCTCTTGTCTGGAAGGTAAACAGTTTTTTTTTTTTGAGAGAGAGAGAGACAGAGAGAGAGAGAGGGAGGGAGGGAGGGAGAGAGAGGGAGAGAGAGAGGAAGGGAGAGAGAGGGGGAGGGAGAGAGAGAGAAAGACGCAGAGAGATAGAAAAACAGATGCAGACTGAGAGACAGATAGAGAGAGAGGGAGAGAGAGAGGGAGGGAGAGAGAAAGAGAGAGAGAAAGAAAGACACACACACAGAGACAGAGAGAGGGAGAAAGACACACAGAGAGAAAGACAGAGAGAGAGAGGGAGGGAGGGAGGGAGAGAGGGAGGGAGAAAGAGAAAGACGCAGAGAGAAAGACAGAGGGAGGGAGGGAGAGAGAGGGAGGGAGAGAGGGAGGGAGAGAGAGGGAGAGAGAGAAAGACAGACACAAAGAGAGAGACAGAGAGAGAGAGAAGGAGGGAGAGAGAGAAAGAGAGAGAAAGAAAGACAGAGAGAGGGAGAGGGAGAAAGACACACAGAGAGAAAGACAGACAGAGAGAGGGAAAGAGAGGGAGGGAGGGAGAGAGAGAGGGAGGGAGAGAGAGAGAGAGAGAAAGAGAGAGAGAGAAAGACACACAGAGAGAGAGAGACGATAGATACAAGGGAGTGAATGGGGAGAGGTTGTTATTGAAAGGTGAAATTTAAGATGGTTTCTTTTTTTCAAAAAAGGATGGTCTTAATTGCCAAAGAGCTAACTTTTAAGCAGAATTAAACACACACACACACACAAACTGTTGGCTGCAGAAATTCCCTCCTCTAAGAATTTAAAGAGAAGCAGCATTTAACCTCCCATATGCAAAGCCTCCCGGCGTTTAAATAATTCTTTTTGTTTTGTTTTGTTTTTTGTTTGTTTGCAATTATCCAACCCAAACAGAGCAACGATAAATAAATAAATATTCCGAGTCGATCGCTAACCTGCAGGAGGGTTTTTTATGGAAATACGATCTGAGGGCCACATGTGTAAAAGACGATCATGTAAGCACAGCAGAGGAAGAGAGAAAAGGGGCAGATTTTTTTTTTTTAAAAAAATGCACTCCCGCCCTCCGTTCTGCCAAAAATGCAGAAAACAATGAAGCGAACCAACTGAGGGGTATCTGAAGTTCCTGTGGTCCAAAAGCCAGCAATGTGCTTTAAATTAAGGGCAGACATTTCAAAGGTTAAGAGGGCTGTTTCTTAAAGCAGAAAGCAGAACAAAGAAGCGGAGAGAAGGAGGGGGAAAAAATGGGAAGCCGTTATTGCTAAAAACACCAGAATCTGCTACACTTAACTGGGACCCAATAATAATAATAATAATAATCTTCTTAACCCAGCAAGAAAAGGGTTTGAGTTATTCCTGCAAAGAATGTTGTAAGGCCGTGATGGCTTATGGCATGTGTGCCAGAGGTGGCATTTCTGTGGGCACACGCACCGTTGCCAGATATTCTTCTGGTTTCTGGTGCACTGGAAGCTGGTCTTTGCAGGTGCCGGAGTGCCAAAAAATGGCCTGAAAATGGCTTGCAAATCAGCCTGGAAAATGGCCTAAAAAACGGGCCCAAAAATAGGCAGGCGTGTGCTGGCCAGTTGGTTTTCGAGTTTCCAGTGCTCTGGCTTGCGCACATGGATGTGCACGCATGTTCCTGTTTGGGCACTCAGTGCCAAAAAGCTCCGCCATCCCTGTTGTAAGGCATTGCTTTTCAGCCATGGATGGTGGGTCTAAGAAACTCACTGTCTGCTGCGTCGATTACAACATCAACACAACGTCCACAAGAGGTGCTAAGGGATCTCCAAGCTGACTAGATGGGACACGCCAGGAACTTAAGACATGTGAAAATATCCCTTCGGGTTAATGCTGAAGGCTTCTTTGGTTTCGAAGTATGGAATTTCCCATCAATCAGCTCTTGCAAACGCTTGGAAGGGTGCTACAAACCATCAGAAGGGGGATGGTAGTAACCCATGGAGGTGAGATTGACATTGGGAAAGGAGTGGAGATGCTCACCTTACAAAGCTCTTTTGACTTGCCCGTCTTGTCTATTTTGACCCCTCCCAAAGTGTCAAAAGACACTTTTTCACAGCATGGGAGAACACAAACTGGAAATTTGAGAAGGTGAGTGAGTTTAAGGTAAAGGTATGCGCTAGTCGTTCCCAACTCTAGGGGGCGGTGCTCATCTCCGTTTCAAAGCCGAAGAGCCAGCGTTGTCCGAAGACATTTCCGTGGTCATGTGGTTGACGTGACTCAATGCCAAAGGCCCATGGAACACTGTTACCTTCCCATCAAAGGTGGTCCCTATTTTTCTACATGCATTTTTTTTACATGCTTTCAAACTGCTAGGTTGGCAGAAACTGGGACAAGTCACGGGAGCTCACCCCATTACGCGGTGCTAGGGATTCGAACCGCTGAACTTCCGACCTTTCGATCGACAAGCTCAGCATCTTAGCCACTGAGCCACCGCATCCCATTTGCCCTTTATAAACCCCAAGCGAGGTTTATTAAGGGCAAATGATGCAAATGGGATTGTCTACTATTTTTTGTGCTTTTTCTTGGATTTGCAGGGAATGGGGATGTAGGACAGTTCTGCTGATGGCCTCTATTTATCTTTTTAAATATGTAAATTTTAATCTGTTTTTAAATTATTGGGGTATTTTAATTTGTCTGGGCCAAATAATTTAATTTGATTTTATCGGGTTTTTAAATTTTGTGTATTTATGTATTTTATTGTTGGCTGTTCACCGCCCTGAGTCCTTCGGGAGTAGGGCGGTATACAAATCAAATAAACTAAAACTAAAAAAACTAAACTGAAGATACCCTGAGTTTTCCTACAGAAGGGTGCCATTGACTTTTGACAGTTATGTCGCAAGGAGCTCCTGGAGCCATGCACAAATAATCAGGTTGGCTATCTTTGTCTCTGAGACCACAGCTTGCCCATAAGTGCCATCGGAAATCCAAAACTGATGTCATAAAAGCTCCCAGGTAGGATGCCTTGGATGAGTTGCAAGAGGAACACAACATTAACCAGTGGGAGAAGTAAGTCACTTAGAAGGGCAAAGCGAACCAAGGGACTCTTGGATAATAGAAGCTCCAGAAGGCCCACAATGAAGGGGAAAATGCGAAATTAAGTGTGTCTATTTTGGCAGAAATGACAATCTTAATAAGGGATAATTGTGGTAAATACCGATGTTAGGGAAGCTACATTTGAAAAGCAAAGGTTTGGAAGTTTGGGGTTTCTTAAAAAGCTTACCTGATCATTATCGTCTTCATCGCTGCTGAGTTTCAAGTCATCTTCAAGCATTCTTCGTAGGGAAAGAGAAAAAAAAAACAGGTTGCAAAGTTACGCAAGGTAGAACAAGCAACACCCCTCATTGCTGTTATAAAAAAGTAGGGTTATACTGATGTGGCAACAACTGGAGAGACATCCCATCGATGTCAACCAACTAAAGAAAAATATTAAAATATCAAGGATGACGAATTAGGGAGAAAACAACCCTGTTGTAATTGGAGATATGGGTGCAAATATTCATCAAATATGCAATTTGTATCAGTATATTTATTTTTTGGAGATACTTCCATGAATTAAAATTTTTGGTTGGGTATTGGATCACTGAAGTCAACTTCCAATCAATTAGATGGTGGCATTCATATGGGTCACAACAACAGATCTCCAGTTCCTCAGTGTTAAACCTCCCTGGTTATTTGTGAAATGTGCATATAGTGCGTATAGTCAAGGCTATGGTTTTCCCAGTTGCAATGTATGGCTGTGAAAGTTGGACCACAAGAAAGCATCAAAGAATTCAGGCCTTTGAACTATAGTGCTGGAGAAGACTGCTCTGACTGCTCTTTAGAAGGCCAGATCCTGAAGATGAAATTCAAATATTTTGGCCACCTAATGAGAAGGAAGGACTCACTGGAGAAGAGTCCAATGCTGGGAAAGATGGAGGGCAAAAGAAGAATGGACGGCAGAGAATGAGGTGGCTGGATGGAGTCACTGAAGCAGTCGGCGTGAGCTTAAATGGACTCCAGAGGATGGTAGAAGACAGGAAGGCCTGGAGGAATGTTGTCCATGGGGGTTGTGATGGGTCGGAGACGACTTCTCAACTAACAACAACAACAAAGTCATTCCTTCTTTGGTGAGCTCTGTTGTTAGGAGGCTCAGCTGCCCCAGAACATCAAGACCTGAAACAACTGAGTATTGACCTCCTAATCAATGAGATGCTTCTGTCAAATTTAAGCTTGTAAAGAGGAGCTGAGATGGGAGATCTCCTTTCCCCCCCTCCTTTCAAGACAAGACACCGTGAGGAAATATTAATTGTTCGCCCTTCTCGGATGCTGGGCCTGGAAAATCAGCTGCTCGAAACTCGCTTATCTAATTGCCATCTCGGTTTTGCTTCAGGGGGATCGGTCGCCTGTGAGGTTCATGGCAACAGATCACAGAACCACGATTGACCCCTGATTGTTATCAGGGCGGTAGATTACACTCTTTTGCAAAGGCCAAGAGGCCTTCAAGAGTCAGTTACAAAAACAACATGTAATTCAAAGGCTACATCAGGATAACAATAAACACTAGTGCCATTCAAAACCCCTTCCTTCCTTCCTTCCTTCCTTCCTTCCTTCCTTCCTTCCTTCCTTCCTTCCTTCCTTCCTTCCTTTCTCCCTTTCCCCTTCCATTTTCCCCTTTCTCCCTCCTTCCTTCCTCCCTTCCTTTTCCTTTTCCCTTCTTTCCTTCCTCCCTTTCCCCTTCCCTTTCCCCCTCCCCTTTCTCTTTTTCCTTCCTTCCTTTCTTCTTTCCTTCCTTCCTTCTGCCCCCTCCCTCCCCCTCCCTCTTCCTTCCTTCCTACCTACCTTCTTCCCTCCTTTCCTTTTCCTTTCCCCTTCTTTCCTTCCTCCCTTTCCCCTTCCATTTCCCCCTCCCTTGTCCTTCTTCCTTTCTTCCTTCCGCCCCCCCCTCCCTCCTTCCTTCCCTTTCCTTTCCCCTTCCATTTCTCCCTCCCCTTTCCCTTTCCCTCTCCCCTTTCCTCCTTCCTTCCTTCCGCCCCCTTTTAATCATTACTCCCCCTTCCCTTCCCTCTTCTCCCTTCTCCTGCCCTCCCCTTCTCTCCCCTTTCCCCCTTATGCAAAAGACCAGCCTTTTTCAAAGGAAACCTCTAATGAATCTATTTGGGTTGCTAAAAATATAGAGATCTAAGAAAAGGAAATGATTAAAAAAAAAAAAAAGGCCCTAAGGATTTTATTTCTTCATTCCATGCCCATTTTTATTCGTTTAACATACTAAACAGCCTTTCCTGACAAAGAAAAGATGGCCAATGGAAAGAAAGGAGGGGGGGGAGAGAGAATACGGGATGATTAATTCAGCCGAGTTGAAGAAGAGCTGGTGGAAGAACTGTTCTTAAATTGGGCAAAGGCTTATCAAACAGAACTGGCCCAAGAGTTATCCTGTCTGAAGAGCAGGAGGGGATGGGCTGTGCTGGGGGTGGGGGGGTGGGAGAACGGGGTGGGCTGTTGAAATAATAAAACTGACTGTTGAGTTTTCCTTGCCTATCCCTTTTTTTAAACTTCCTGAGCCAGCACTACTTAATCAAGAATGCAGCTCCTTCCTTCCTCTCTCTCTCTCTCTCTCTCTCTCTCTCTCTCTCTCTCTCTCTCTCTCTTCTGGCTCATTAATTTAACTAATCCAGAACTCAGCCAGAAGGCGGTGGCAGAGTCTGGTAACATTTGGAATAATTAAAAGGGAGCGGAATAAGATATTGATGGAATCCACTTTATTCTTGGACAAATTCGTGTGTGTGTGTGGAGTGGGGGCTGGAGGGGTTGAGATGCTATAACCAGAATTAATTTGTCAGAGAGGAAATGGGTACAATTATGGGCATTATTAAATGGCTGCTATTCAGTATAATAAGGGGCGTTGTGGCTCAGGGGCTAAGATGCTGAGCTTGTCGATCGAAAGGTCAGCAGTTCAGCGGTTCGAATCCCTAGTGCCGCTTAACGGGGTGAGCTCCCGTGACTTGTCCCAGCTTCTGCCAACCTAGCAGTTCGAAAGCACGTAAAAAATGCAAGTAGAAAAAATAGGGACCACATTTGGTGGGAAGGGAACAGCGTTCCGTGCGCCTTTGGTGTTTACTCATGCCAGCCACATGACCACGGAGACGTCTTCGGACAGTGTTGGCTCTTCGGCTTTGAAATGGAGATGGGCACCGCCCCCTAGAGTCAGGAACGACTAGCACATATGTGTGATGGGAGCCTTTACCTTTACCTTTTATTCAGTACAATAATATCACCAGATTTGGGGAAAGACCTTGAACTGCAGAGGTCTGGCATTCAGAAGAGGCAGTTTTATTTATTTAATTTATATCCTGCTTCAAGGCAGGTAAGATAGTCTTTTCCTCCATCTATTTTTCTCCGGAACAACAGCCACATCTTATGAAAGAGATTAAAATTAGAGAGGAAAAAGAATGATTCCATTGTTTTATGAACTTCCATGGTTGATGGCTAGTCTAGTGAAGAGAAGGACCAGGGGAGACAGGATAGCATCTTCCAATATTTGAGGGGCTGCCATAGAGAAGAGGGGAAGGTGTCAAGCTATTTTCCAAAGCACCTGAAGGCCAGACGAGGAATAATGGATGGAAATTGAACAAGGAGAGATTCAACCTAGAAATAAGGAGAAATTTCCTGATGGTGAGAGCAATCAACCCATGGACCAGAAGTTGCCTTCAGAGGTTGGGGGAGCTTCATTACGTCCCTACCAACTATGTTATTATTCTGTTATTATGTTAAAACAGAAAGGATAAATAGAAGCAAAGACTTCTGGGTTGTTGTTGTTTTTTTGAAAATTTAGCTTCATGCTAGCACAACCTCCTCTCTCCCCGCCCTTCTACACAATCCAAATGAGGATACAATCCATGCGTTCGCGATGCCATCAGCCCAGCGTTTAAAACATTTGCTGGATATATTAAAGGAAAAGCGAAGGCAGGCAGCAAGGCTAAATGAAAAATGAAAACAAGCTGCTTTCTAAAGTGATCTCCAAGGATATTAAGAATTCACTTCATTTTCTATTCGTCTCTGACCTGGCCGACATAATTATTGAAAAATGCAGGTAGCTGTTTGTCTTGTCATCCATAACAAATGCATCAGATCCCTTGAAGGGGGCAACACCTTTCCCCACTCTCCAAAGTCTAGGTTAGGAAGGACATTTTGCTCTCATGATTAGAGCGATGCCATTTGTGCCCCCTGATTGTTGGCCACGTTCTCAATTTGCACCCTCCCATCTTCAGGCACGAAGGGCGTTCATCGATCGGAAAGGATTTGCTAAAAATTTGTTTTGTGTCAGCTTTGAATTTGTACCCTCCGGGCACGCCGAAGCTAGGGAAGGAGTGGAGCTCTCTTGGGAAGGGGGCTGAATCCAGAGGCTTGAAAAATCAAGAATTGGGTCTAATGGAAGAGATTTTAGGCTGGGAAGAGAGAGAAGGGGAGGGGAAGAGAGGGGAGGGGAGGGGAAAGGAGGGGAGAGAAGTGGAGAGAGAAGGGAAGGAAGAGAAGAGAAGAAGAGGAGAGAGGAGAGGAGAAGCAGAAAGGAAAGAGAAGAGAAAAGGAGAAGGGAGGCGAGGGGAAGGGAGGGAAAGGCAAAAGGAAAGGGAAAAGGAGGGAAGAGGAGAAGTGGAGAGTGAAGAGAAAAAGAGGAGAGCAGAGCGGAGGGGAGCGGAGCGGAGAGGAAGGGAGAGGAGAGGAGAGGAAAGGAAAGGAAAGGAAAGGAGAGGAGAGGAGAGGGAGTTTTTCCTTCTGAAATAGTACCCCAACTTGTTAGTTATATTTCACGGACCTCTGACTAGTGCCTAAAGCAGTGGTGGATTGCTACCGGTTCACCCCAGTTTGGACGAACCGGTAGCGGTGGTGGTGGGAGGCTCCACTCACCTGCCCAGATGCTTCTACGAAGCGTCACACGTGCATGCGAGCGCGCGCGTGTGCCCACAAGTGAACCAATAGTGACAGGCTTTGAAACCTGCCCCTGGCCTAAAGCAATGTTTCTCAATCTCTGGAACTTTAAGATTCGTGGACTTCAGTTCCCAGAATTCCCCAGCCAATATTCTAGAACTTGTAGTCCAGACTGAGTGGGGAATTCTGGGAGTTGAAGTCCATACATCTCAAAGTTCCAGAGATTGAGAAACATTGGGCCTAGAGAGCGAGGGTGGGACAGTGATTAGGGCACCAGGCTAGACACCAGGAGACTGTGAGTTCTAGTTCCACCTTGGGCATGAAGTCAGTTGGGTGACCTTGAGCCAATTCCTTTCTTTCAGCCCTAGGA